ACAGCGAAGATGGCTTACAGAAAAAAATCGCTCCCAATTCGGAGCTAACCCTGAGGGCGTAGAGCTTTCGAGGAAAAATGAGAATCTGAAGAGTTATTTACGCATAGCAAATTTCTTACAGGAAGGAGGACCGCCTGGCGAGGCCGGACGACATCATAAAAAGGAGGGAAGTCCGGCGTTAGTCGGGCGGCCCGACTGGTTAGCAATACAACAGTGTAAAGTTTAATGAATGAAGAAACTTAGGCATACCTAAGCCCTCTTATTGATGTCGCTCAAATAGCTTTTGACTACATCTTCTCAAGGTGCTGAAATCTCGCAAGCCCTGTAAAAAGTATGAAACGGTTGAACTGATTTGCTGCTGGGGGTTTAGTTGACTACTTAACAACGAGCACCCACAACACCCAACATTTTCATCGTTCTTGACGACAAATTAGTGAATGTTCTGCTTCACTCCGTACTTCGCCCAGTACCTGTGTAATAAAGTCGAAATTTTGGTGATATAAGAATTTTTCGTATTTAGGCACTTTTTTGCACACTTAATAGCTTACCTTTTACACGCTTAACTACATCAAGCAGTATATTGAAACTGGGTTCGTGGACCTAATTAGGGTCGCTTTGCCGCCAGCTGCTATAACAAGATAGTTGTAACAACAATCCCGCACCGCCTCAGTTGTAGAACTCCATGGCAATCTGCAACTTCTTCGGGCGTTCATAGGGTTCAGTTCTCCAATTTCTGGAAGCATTTCCCTAAGATAAAGATCCACTTTTCTTCCAAATTCAATTTACTTGATCGACAAACACGATTTCTAAATTGCAATATACCACGACAGGATCGTTCGAAGGTTCGTAACCATTCCTTGTGTCGATAAATCCGATAAATTATGGATAGACTCGCGTTCCTAATTTCTCAGTTTAATCTATCATTCGTTTATGCTAGATTGAAACTAATGAAAATCCGCTAGAGTGAATATGCTTTCGGAAAAGTAAAGCCAAGTGTAACTGAAGAAGGGATTAAGCGTTTATCTCAATACAGTGAGATCGTACAAAACACAGGTGCCGTAAGCAAATGGAAATAATGAAAAAAGGCAACAACATAAAAGCATATAAAGCCATTAGGACATGTTCTTACAAAACTTTTACAGCGGATGCGGCTTCAATCTGAGCTTTGGCTTCAGTCAGTTCTTGGCAGTCTTCCAAAGAGGCTTCGTCAATGAGCTTCTGTAACTCGGATGCAGCTGTTGCACATCGTCGAGCGGTATCGCTAATCATCCCACGAGTTTCCTGAATCGGTAATTAAGAACGCTGTTGACCAATAAGGGAAACGCTGAAACAAACCTGCAGCACTTGACCAGCCTTCTTAACAGCATACTCATCGTCCTCATTTTGAGCCTCAGACTTCATCTTTTCAATTTTCTGCGTCTCCTTCTCCACTTCTTTGATATAACTTGCATGTTCCTAATATTCAAAAAACCTGTTAACTATGAAGCCGGTCACTTTTTTCAAGAAATGATCTTATCGACTAAAGATAACCAGAAGGACGGGAGGTTCACCACTGTGGCTTTGACGAACTTTGTCACCACCCTCGGCACTTCCGCGGGCCAAGTGGTAGTGGTATTTTTACCCACAACAAAATTCGAGTGTTGCCGGATAGGAGCTTGGAATATAAGCTTCTGGAACTTTGGCCCGAAGAAGCAATTCTCTCCAAGTGAACATGGGCGCACGAATGCAAAATAGACAGACTTAAAGAGACTAAAAAAGTGTAGGCGTGGTAAAGCTGTGATAATGCTAAGGTGTTCCAAAACTTGACTACTTTTTGAAGGTAGCATCCTTGCAGAGTTCGAAATTAATCACGCAAGACCGAAGAGTACATTGCGAAGTACATTATAGAGCAATTCACAGCCAAAACATGATCACCTCAAACGTTTTTTTTTGGGTAAGATATCAAATAGAATCCCCTCGAGCTAGACCTTAATGTTGCAGCATTCCTTATAGTTCTAGTATAGTAATATGGTCCCTTCCACCACTACCGTTGCTGTAGACGTCATAAAGGGTCCACCTCGTTCAGTGAGACGATCGGTGCTGTTCGATTTCTGCTATCTGCGATTAAGTACCACCCCAAATGAAGTGGCATGCTCTTCAGCAAACGCACTCGGATATTCCAGGGAAACTATTGATAGAGACGAGCCCTCACTTGATTCGAAGTATTGGAGTTCGATCAAATAATTTAACATTAGTCTATCGATTCTTATAGAAGACTCTTACGAAGTACTGTCAAGTTTTTTACAATTCCGCTATGCGATCGGTCTACCTAAACAATGTCAATACCTGGTGGAGGTGAAGACTAGGGGTCCGGAATCTTTTCCCCGAAAACAGCATCGCACACGCCGCAGACGCCGCGTATCGCAGGACTGCGATGGAAGATTGAAGCGCGCAATTTGTGAGGTAGGGAGTCCTTTAATTATATGAATTGGCTGGCCGCTCTCTTCAATTCCAATGCGATCTTGACCGTCGCTAATATAGGAGGAGTCATTTTAATTATACATGTCTAATAAACATAAAAACGAAAAAGAAACAGAAAAGAAAACGACCAAATCTAATAAAAAAGAAAGGCAATCAACGAAAAATATTGCGTCCTATCGATTGACGGGTAGGCGGGTGATTACGGCAATTGCAGTGACATTTGTCGCATGCCGCAAGGGAGAATGGCGCAATCGGGGAGAAGTTCCGTTACGATCCGACTAGCAAGCAAAAAGTGGGTACTCGCGTGATAACTTCGTGGAGTTGACCACAGATAACCCTTTACAATAAATAAGTGGTAAGGATATCTGATAAGAGTTCCGAAAACTATAGTGCCTGCCTGCTTCATGATAAAAATAAATAGCTTCCGAAGATGACGGAACTCGAAACACTAAAGTTTGGCTAGAAAATCTGGGGTTGCCCCTACAGGGTTGCCCCTACACCCTTGATTTCGGCCACTCTTATCAAACCGCATCCGTGAGATGCTCAACAGCCTCAAAAGGACATCCGGACGGAACCACAGCACTGGATTTAAGAAACTGCAATTTGTAGAATCGATATTAGCTCAGCTTAGTCTAGCAGAGTGGCCAGCAGTCAGAAAATTGGTTCAGATCACTCACAGGCGAGGGGGTGAAGTTGCGAAGCGATCTAATTTTGAGCGAAACATGAGCATCTCAGATATTCATTCTTTACTTCGTAAATGGTAAGAACATTTATGGGAAAGGTGGGCACATTTATGATTGATAATGCTTTTTGTTGAAATTCATTTCATCTAGAATTTTTCCCGACCACGCATGAATTTCTGGAACACTCTAACAGTTGCGAAANGATAAACGAAGTGGGATTGAATAAAAGAAAAAAATGCAAACGAATAAACATTTAACCAGTTACTGATTGTCTTACCTTTACAAGTCTCTTCACTACACCCGTTTGGATTTTGATCTTTTTGAGAACAGCTGGATCAACCATCGTGAACTTAGGCCACCCTTAAAAATGTCATTAAAGTGTAGAACCATGTCATACGTCACCAAACTTCGTTGATCACGTGCTCGTGAACTGTACGTGGAATCAAAGGTTGCTGAATGCTTCAGAAGAGGTTTCAAACAACGAAAGAATAGCGTGAGATCTTTGTCATATGTTGAAGAGTAATAAGTTGATGGAGAGTAGTATCAGAGGTTCTTAAACCATCACCACCTCTCACTATCCTGGGATCTTTGTGATCACTTCCTTATATGTATAGCGCTTCGATAAAAGATTACAGCAAGCAACGACCTCTCAAAAATGTAAACAAAGAGAGCAACGACGTTGCAACTAGGGAGAACGTCGGAGGTTCACTTTTCTGATAATAAAAAACTGATACAAACCCAACTTCTTAATCAAACTCTCTGAGCTTTACTGCGCTTCCCTAAGGTTTCAAAACTCCCTTGATTTTGGTAAAAGAGAGTATTTTTAGCTGCATTTTCAACCCACCATTTTGTACGACAGCGGCGACACCTTCATTTTCTTTTACGAATTTTCAACCCCTAGTGCTTTCTTCAAGGATCCAAACATGCAAAATTTGCTTGCAGCCAACTCTGCACGAAATGATAAAAGTCATCCCAACTCTATAATGGCCGTCCGTTTCGCGAGAGATGGAGTATCAACGGGAGCGCTTCGTTACGCACGTCCGTCGAAACTAGGTCATGCCGCAGCCGCCGCATGCGGCGGGTCAGCTCGCGATCTTTGACGAACGTCGCAGTTGTCAGCGGGGCATACGTATTGCGCTTGGTCCACGACACTCAAACGAGAATTCAGTCCGGCACTCGGCTCTTACAGTAACCCCCTGGCTTACCCCACCACCCAACCCCGTGTCCTTGCCCAGAGCCTCTTTTCGACGCGTCGTATATGTGACGGGTAAAAATTTACGTGTTAACACGTGCCGGATTACTGTAAGAGCAGAGTGCCGGACTGAATTTTC